CTGAATGAAATGTAACAAGTAAAATCAGGGCTGTCATCTTGCCAGTGTTTGGAAGGCATCACCTGGAAATTGACATTCATCTGCTCCCATTCAACACATTCCTCACCCGAGTTGGGAGCACATGGAAGACCTGTGCTCTGGCCCCCGTCCTGAGAGGAGTAAAGGTGGTGTGGGAGCAATAGAAATAGAGAGATCACCAAGGGGAGTAGAAAATGGGGGTGGGGGAGAGGAAAAACGATGGGAGTCTTTAAAATAGAGAGGGAAAGTTAAAGCATCCAGCTAGAAGTGGAGAGTAAGGAGGGCAGATGTGGGAACGGAATGGGAAGCAAGGGGAAGAGAGAGAGTGCTTGCTGTGTACAGTGTTTTGAATTTATGATTTAATAGAGAATGTAGCTCTACCAACAATGTGAAGAGGTGCCATGCCACGCTTCGAATGGAGTGCTGGGGGTAAGACCTGCCTCTCTTGGGGGGTATAGGCAAAAAGAACAGGAGTACTTGTGGCACCTTAGAAACTAACACATTTATTAGAGCATAAACTTTCGTGGACTACAGCCCACTTCTTCGGATGGGGAGTATAGGTCACTCGCCACTTGAGGCTGGCAGGGATGCAGCATAAACCATGAAATGAGAATTCTCTGTTGCAGTCATTGAGGTGGTGCTTGTAGCACAGGTAAGGAAATTGCTGTTTAAAACTGGGCTGTTAATATGAGCATCCCATAAAGCAGAAGCCTCCTCTGTCCCCTCTTTTGTACCCCTGAGCAAAAAGGGTATGTTTATCACGTGTGTCCAGGCTTTTATTTTTTCCCCTGAGCTTCTTGGTGGGTTTGCAGCATCCTTGTGCTGTAAACAGACTCCATGCCTGGAGGCTCAAGCTCCTGCCCTAAAAGATTAGCATTTTATTCCCAGTACCTCCTCCCCTTCTCCTTCCAACCCTTAATCTCCAGTACATTGGGGAGGGTGTGTAAATGGATTTGGTGGTCTCATTTCAGTGCCACATGATTTTGCTGTGCCAGCAGAAGTTCTGCACATGGAGTTATTGGGTTAGCTGCTGTAAAATGGGTTTGGATGTGGGGGACTTATTGTTTGCTTTAAAATCAAATAAAAAATCTGGAACCCCTGGATAAAGGCAGACGCTCTGCAAAGCCCCAGCAAAGAGAGTCAGGGAATCAATGTCCATGTTCTCTTTTCCTTCTCTTGATGCATTTTAGCTCTAGCTGCCTAATTGCCCTTCCTCTCTCCCTCTACATTTTCTTTGATGGCTCTAGTAGTACGTTGTGGAGTCCATCCCCCCCCTCCCCTTCCTGCAAGAAGGAGATTATCATAATACTGCCTTGTAAATCAATTTTCTCTCTGCACTGACGAAAATGTAATTTGCTCTTAATCACTCGGCTTTGGCTGCACAATCTTATGTTACACATAGATATTTATTTATTCTTGCATCACCGTGGGGAAATGGAATCGGTGTATGGAATGCTTTAGGAGGGCGGCAGAGAGAGCTTGCAGCTGATCCAGGGCCAGGCTTTCCAGACAGGAAGTGCTGGAGTTGTTGCTAACAGCTAAACTAGTACCAGACAAGAGGCAATAGGGGGAAGTGATGGGGCGCCTCTCCGTTTTAGTTGCTGGACTTAGGGGTGCTATAGGGAATGGTGTAAAAACAGCGGCAGCTTTCAGCTGTTCCTGTCCCAGCCTCTGGCTATGGGCAGCAGTGTAGGAATACTGGCCATATGGAGTACTGCAGTCTCCTACTTTTATATAACCATGATGCAGGGCAGGTAAGAGTGAAACTGGTGGTTCCCAGAATAGGGAGTGGGATTTCCTAGATACCTGGTGCCTGTCTCTTTTGCAGCAGAAATAAAATGAAAACAAGCTTGGTTCAAGGAATCCCACTGCACCTCCCACTTACATGGCCACGCAGCTGTGCTCAGTATGATGAGTCAGGCTTGTTTCCTCTCTGCAGAAGCTGGGGACAGAGCCTTCATTGGCTCTGACCTTCTTTTTACTTGAGTGGATGTGTCAGGCTTTGTCATGCCACTTGCAGTCTGGATGCAATTGCTACGTGCGACTCCAGAGTGAGTGTGCAGCTCTCTGGGCAGCGTGCAGCACGGTGGCTGTCAAAAGCAGTAGGCAGGCTGATTGGCGAAACACTGCCTGGGATCAGAGCTTCCCTGAGCTTATTCACCTGAGCATTTCTTATTGATGCCAGAGGTGGGGGAGGGGAGCCAACCAAACGCAGCCCTTCTGGAATTTCTCCACAGCGGGAGAACAGTAACAAATATATTTACAAGCTCTTTAAAAAGTTTTCTGTCCCGGAGCAGGATGTCATCACTGACAGAAAGTAACAGTCTGCTCAGTCAAGAGCAAACTTAAATTCCTTCTGTGTTATTCACAGGACAGATTTTAATCAGATGTGAGAGGGCAGCTGGATGAGAGATATGGGTTAGCCCCAGGGTCTGGTGGAAGCTACTCCCAATTTGTGAGAGCCTGCTGATGGCTGTCAAGAGTTGTCCCCACACCTAGAGTAATAGGGGTGGAGCAACCTCGCACTGCTGTCTGGATTCCTGGAGTGGAATTGCAGCCGGGGCCTTCAGCAGGCTAACAGGATGGTGAACGCTCACTGCCTGGAATAACCCACCTACCATTAGTATGGGCCCTCTAGGTTACACCAGCTAGGAGGATAAGTGTGAGGCTTCCCAACTCCTGCATGTGGGCATAAGATGAAGTCAGGAAAGAATTTTTCTCCATGGAATTATGAGCAGGTTTATGGCTTTCTCAGAACACCCAGCATTAACCATTGACCCAAACAGTGCCCCAGTTGGTCTGTTCTAGTACAGCCAATTCAATGTATATATGGGATCTCTGGCCAAATTCGACTCTGTTTTACTGGTGCAAGTTCCACAGAAATCGAATGTAACCGGGCAAAACTTGGCCCTCATTGCTCAGTGCTGTACTTTGATGTATGGCCTGTGTCTCCTGGCCATTGTGTCCATTATGCTAGAACCTGCAGTAGCTGACCCAGCCCAGGAGGTTACAGGACACCTGCATTCTGTTTCCAGGTCTCCCATTGGCTTACTTTGTGACCTTGAGCAAGTCACCTCATTGCTCTGTGCCTCAGTTTCCTTATATATTAAATGGGGAGAGCAATGTAGGTCTGCTCAGGAAAAGTGATGTGAGATTTACAGATCAAAAGCATTAATCAAGCACTGAGTGGTGTTAATGCCTAGAAGGATAGAACAGAGCTAGATTTCTTTTTTCTCCTTGCATCTATGTAGGACCCGCTCATTGCTGTGCTTTCCTATGCCCTGTCCAGATTTGCAGCAGCATTTACCCAGACTTGTGCTCCCTTCAGCTCTGAGGCTGCTGCAAAAAAGAGGGATTGTGTTAGTTTAAGGTGTTACTAGAAACACAGAGTGGGAAGGGAACTGATGGAAAAGCCCACATACATCAGAAGGTATCAACAACAGTGGAGAGTTGAATCAGAATAGGTCAGAATCTCCCTCTTAAACCTGAGGGAAACATTATATATTTCCCTTCACCTTAAATCAATGTTCTTAACTGGCCCTTTTCACTGAAGTATCTGAGCACTAAGTTCGTGGTGGTCTTTCTGAGTAGCACTTTTCAGTCACAGTCATCTTCCTATAGGCCAGGGTTTCTGTGTGTGTCTTGATCCAATTAAGGGCTTCCAATATTTCTTCTTTAAGTGAGCAGTACCTTGATGGCAGCACCAACCAAAGGATTTGCATGTGACTGTGGGATTGGAAGCTCATGGGAACCTTTACCCCCAGGCCATTCCTGTTCTCCCAGCCATGAGCCTAATGGGAAGGGATGATGAATTGTTTCAAGCTGAGTTAACCCTTTGCTAGACCAAGATGCTCAGAGGCGGTGGCGTGTCTTCTCTTGCTCATGCTCAGCTGAGGGGGAAAAACCAGCAAACCCTAGTGAATGATTGTCTGATCAGGGCATGGTAGGAGGAGAGAGAGGCTCCTGTCTTTGGAGCGGGGAGCTACTTCTGCAAAAATAAATACATCAGATGGACTCTGCAGATGCACAAGACATCTAGTTTTGACTAACCCTTCTGCAACTCTCTAGTGGAGAGTGTTTTCCTGAAATAATTTCCCTGCTTTTTCTTACTGCTCAGCTGACCCCTCTCTTCTTCACCCCTGCTCACTGCCAGTAGAATTTGGACTAGAATGATTCAGAGGGAGTATTATGGCAGCAGAGGCTTTGCTCCAAGGGAAGGAAGAACCCAGTGAACTAAACTGGCATTAGGGGGATTATATTTGCTTTTGCAAGCTGATCCCACTTGTTGGCATATTGCAGTGTCTAGCCATAAATGAGCATACATCTGTGAAGGTTGTCCACTGCTGTAAACAGCATTTCTTCATGGGAAGTCCAGGACTGAGATTGGCCTAGAGCAGGTATTCTGCTGCCCTCCTGCTTCTCCCAGTGCCCAGCATTACCCTTAACCCTCTTTTATTGTAATGATTGGCTAATGGCACTACGTGATCGCAAGAGCCCAGGTTTAGTTCTTGCTGGATCTCAGTGAGAATGTTTCTCCTGTAGAGCTGCGTGCCTTTTCCTCTTCCTGCCTCATGCAAATTAATTGCAACATTTAATCCTGCAAGTGTCTTGAGGAGGGCCAGGGCTTTGCAAGGGAAGTGGCTTGCCAGTAAAATGAGTCTTTCTTCTCCCTAGTGTGTGGATGGGACCAGCTGGTCCCTGGGATAAGCAGGAGGCAATTCTTAACCAAGGAATTGACTGATGCTTGGAAGATGAGGAGTTGGCTGTTTGAGTACACTCTGGCCCTGGGTATGATTGGAAACGTTCCAGTAGAGGACGTTAAGCCCCTGCAGTCATTTTCCTTGCAATACAGGTTTTTTGAATGAAATTGGAGCCGTCGGGAATATTGAGTAAGGGACAAGGGGGTGGCGTTTAAACTGTATTGTATGGTGATCTGGACCTAAGATTCCTGTCTCAGCAAAATGCCCATCCCTCACCTACAGGCACATCAGTAAATCCATCTGAGTCTAAACCACCTCCATTGAGCACTGGATTCTGCTTCCCAGGCAAAGATGAGACGCATTCCCTGCCCTACAATGGAGAAAGTGCTCTCAGAGGTGCTGCGTGTCCTCCGCTCCTCCTGCCTTCAGTGCAAGTCAAAGATGCTCAGCTCTTTGCAGGATCTGGCCCTAAATAAGAGCAGGCAGCTCTCAGGTGAGGGATTTGTTGAGGAGGAAGGTGAGCATGGGTTTGAAGAAGGGGCCTGCCAGCTGAGGCAGATGTGGCTCGCAGCTGTAGTAAGCAGTGACAAGTGGGCTGACTTTCAGAGGGGCTTGAGACCTGAAGCTTCAGTAGGAGATAGAAGAGGCTGTGGATCTGTGCATTGCAGAGGTGGTGGAGAGGGAGTACTTGACCGTCTCCACCTGAACACCCATTCCCCTAGTTTTGGGGTAGCAGGACTGAACTGCACTAAACTTCTTACTTGGGATCAGCAAATAATACATAGTATTTGACTCTTCTCAGCATAGCTAGTTGGACCTTGGCTTTGGGAGCACCGTTATCAAGAGGAGAATGCACTAAACTATCCCCAAACAACGCAAAGAACCCCAGTATGGGTGGCAGCAGGATCAAACACTGGCCCCATGAGTCAGTTCGCCTGGCCTGCTGCCTTCTGAACTCCCTGTAGACCTCCAACCGGTCACGCATTCAGCTGACTGCCTGCTGTTCCTGCCTCTCATGTTTTAGTGAATGTGGAGTGTTCCCACCAGACTTTCAGCAGAGAGCCTCCAAGTTCCCCTGTAAACAGGAGGGGGAGGAAAATGGTTCAAACTGTGGTGAATTTTAATTGTTCATCCCCACCCTAACGTGCCATAGCTTGCAGCGAGGCAGCTCCTTGGACAGGGCTTTCAGCACTCGGTGATCCAGGCTTGTAAACTATCTGCAGCCTAGTGAGCATACAGGGAGCCGGTCCTGCTCCTGTTCACTCAATGCAAAACTCCTAGTGACTTCATTAGAAGCAGGATCTGACCCATCGCAGGGCCCCATTTTCTCCACGATATAACAAACCTAGATGCTGCAGCAATGTTAATTACATGAATTAATTACGTAAATTTATTCTGTTGCCATGCAGCACCCTTCTCTTCAGATGCGAGTTGTCAAAAAACAGAGTGCAACTATTGGTATCTACTAAGTCTGCTAAAGCCTGCTGCACGTCTTAGCCTGCTGCTCCCCTCCTGTATCCCCTGCCCAGGTATCGCTGCGGGAGACCCCCCTTGGGAAAGGAGGGGGGCTGAGTCAGGCTGGGATGGCAATGGGCACTTAAGGAATTGGAGAGAGGAGCCATTGAGGCTGGCTTCCCTTTTACACCAAAGTGGGAGGGTGTCTCTAACTGGGGCCTCAGTAGTATCAAGCAGGGTAGGCCAAGGGAGCGGGTCTAAAATCCATGCAGCTGTTCTGAAAGGCTGTTTGTAAATAGCAGCTTGGCACCGCCCCATTCCCAGCAACGCTGGCCACTCCTGACCTGACTCCAGCTCTGTTTCCTCCTGCTCTGTGACTGCGAGACCTGAGCAGGCATCTTTACTGGCTCCCCAAAGAGCTCCTCCCCCTGAACCCCAGCCATTTCCACTGCCAGGCTCCCAGGAACAGTGCAGGGACACGCCCCCCCCCCACCTCTTGCAGGGATGTCTAGCAATGGCTGGGGTGGGCTGCAGTTCCCCAGCCAGCAGGCCAGTGGCCGAAGAAATGGGGACAAAAAAATCTTTCCTCTTTCTGCACAGCACAGTGGAAACTGAGGCTGATCATGCAGTTAATATCCCCAGCCAGAGAGGTGCTGCAAGGCATAGACCATGGTGGACTCCTGTGGTTCCAGCACAGTGGAGAAGTCTGCTGAATACTTAAGAACTTGCTAAAATACCAAAGTCCACAGCCAGTAGCTTAGCTTGGGAATCCTAGAGTGCCTGGGATCCCTGCCTGGGGTTGCATAGCAGTGTGTGGGGCAGTCATGTGCTGATGTGGGAGAGGGAAGGGCTATGCAGACTTATGGTCTCAACGTGGTAGCTTTGGTCTGAGGGATTCTTTCTCTGCCACTCACAAAGTGGGGTGGCCTGGAGAGATCTTGGGCCCTTGTAGTTGGTGAGGTGAAGAAGGCCCAAGCCGGGAGATTTCATCAGTTGTCTAGGTAGGAGAGAGTAGGTCTCATTGATGGACTCATCTTCTGAGATGTTCCTCCAATGGCACTTCATTTAAATGCTCTTCCTGTACCTCCTCCCTCCTGCTATCTTGGCTAGATGGAATCTTGGCTCCAGGATACTCTCTGGGCTGAGTGATGGAGAATTCCTGCCCGTCTCCTTCCCCTGGCTGCTACAGCAGGTGTCTCATTGTAGTTCCACAACTGATAGTGGCCAAGTCTCACCAACCAGCTTCCAGGGGAATCCATTTCCATCACCCGACTTAGAGGAACAGACTTGATAAACAGCTACTCTAAGTAATTCTGAACTACAGTGCTGACTGAAAACATCCCCCCCATCTCAATGAATATGCCTCATACAAAGGTGCATTAGAAGGTGTGTTACTCAGAAGCCTCTTCTTTAGGAGATGCTCATGTGTCAACAGCTGGCCAGAATGTTTCAGGACCCTTGAGGTGTGTTTTCTTTGATCAGACTGCCAGTGCTCTCATGCTGTAAGACTGTTCTCCGATGCGGAAAAGGGGAAGGCCGTAAATGTTTGATCAGTGTTTGTAATCTGGGGCAGCCTTTCTGAACACCAGCAGTACCAACGGACCTCACCGGTACATGCAGGTTTCTGAGCACTTCTGTGTATCAGGCCTCTGAACCTAAACTCATGTGGTATGTTGCAGTCCCCCAGAATGTATTGGGATAGCATTGTGCAGGGCTGATGGGAAAGCAGGTCAAGCTCTTTCTTCAGTCTCTCTCTCAACTCTCTTGCAGCTCACCTTGCAGAGCACCAAGTCCCGTGTGGCCTTCTTCGAGGAGCTCTAGGAGGTGATCCAACCATCCTGCACTGCTGCTTCCAGCGAGCCAGCCACTTGCCAGCCAGAACCTCCTTCAGCAAGGCCATATAGGCACATCCCACTGGCTGGGGAGCCAGGAACACAGCCTCTCTACATGCTGGCTGAGTGCATTCTGGGACATGATGCTGCTCCTGTGCACTGGACTTGGTCCGTCAGCTGTCCGTGGATTTCAGTGTGATGATCTCTAGTTTAGAGTATCCTAATCCCCCTTGTGGGTTTTTAACTAGCTACCCTCTTCTGCCCTTTATAATGCAGAGCTGTGTATCCCTTGCAGTCTTTTTAAGCAGTATTTGTATTTGGCCGTGACTATCATGTGACCTCTTGGGAGAGGGTGAGCAGGCGCGTGTGCCTTGGAAGGGACGCCTTTCCCTTCCGGCCCTGCTTTAGGGAATACCACAAATAATGTGCACTTCTGCAGGTGGAGATATGGCGCCTTCAGCAGTTCGGGAGCCAGGCGGCGAGATGTGCGCTACCCTCTCCATACCCCCAGTACTTCTGCCTGACTTTTGGAGGGGCTGAGTACTGGTAGCCCCCATTGGTGACACACTCAGTGATATAATGGATGCTTTAATCAGTGTTACAACCTCCCCTACAAGGGCGTGATTAGGTCTGGTCTTCCTGCCTGTCAGAGAATCTAATAGACCTAGAAGGGGTTCAGAGATAAGCCGTGGAAATAGGTTTGGAACGACTTCTGTATAAGGAGAGATTGAAAAGACTCTAGCTGTTTACCTTAGAGAGCTGCCGCATAGCGGGGACACTACAAAGGTGTGCAAACTGATGAATGGTATGACGCAAGAGCAAGGGCATAGTCAAGGAAACGGAAAAGTGGCATATCCAGCACTGATCAAAGGAAATGCTTTCCCACACAGTGTGCAATGAGCCTCTGGAACTCCTTGCTACAAGATTCCACTGACACCAAGAATTTTGTAGGATTAGATCTTTGTCTGTATACAAAAATAGCCAGAAATCTAGCAGTGGACATTTACAAAGTGAAGGGGTTCTGGAAGAGATATGAACCTTGTAGATCAGGAGGGAATTTCCTCTGTGCCCTGGTCATCCCATAGCTACCTATTGCAGCCTTCTTTTCACTTTCCTCTGAAGCATCTGGCACTGGCCACTGGTGGAGATGGGCTAGAAGGACCATGGGTCTGATCCACTCTGTCAGTTCCTGTTCAGGGGAGCTGCATGTGCTCAGCCTCTCTGCACATCACCTCCCTTGCTCCATTTTAACTCCCCTGGTAGAGTGGTAACCAGCTCCCCACGAGCTGGGACTCTACTGAGAGTAGTCCCAGCGTCTCTTTACTGCTGAGTCCTGTTGAGTGAGAGTGGCAGGAGCAGCCTTGCTCTGGTGGTGGCAGAGCCTCTGGTTTCCAGTCCCTGAAGGAGCATGTTGTGAACACTCATGCACCCGTGCCTGCCGTGAGAGAGCCAAGCAACAGGGTTGAGTTTCTAAGCAATCAAGGTGAGGTTGGCTGCTAAATGAAGTAGCTCTCTCCTAGCCAGGGACTCTTGGCAGCTATGTCGAAGAAGTCAGTGGCATCCTCAGCTCTTGAAAGGGCATAGGGCTGCTGCCTTGGGAGGAGAGGAGTAACTCCTGGCATATGCTTTGTCATCATCCTGTCTCCTTGGCCAGTGCTAGCACCCATCCCGCCCTGCTTTGTATTCTCTGTTTTGGGGGGTGAGTGGGGAGAGGTGCTAGAAATCACTTTCAATTTATCTCCCAGGTGCTGGAAGGAGGGGGGCTGCCGCACCCGCTGGCTTGAAGTAGTTTTCACTATATCGAGGGTTTACAGTTTGGTTCAGTGGCTCCCAGCACCCCCCCACCATACAAATTGTTCCAGCACCACTGTTGGCAGCCCCTCATGGGAGGGAGGGAGGAAGGAAGGAATGGATAGCTCAGTGGTTTGAGCATTGGCCTGCTAAACCCAGGGTTGTGAGTTCAATCCTTGAGGGGGCCATTTAGGGAACTGGGGTAAAAATCTGGCTGGGGATTGGTCCTGCTTTGAGCAGGGAGTTGGACTAGATGACCTCCTGAGGTCCCTTCCAAGCCTGAGCTTCTATGATCCTAATGCACTTATGAACTATTGGGCCCTGCCTTTGTGTAATGGCCTCTGGTCTACTCCTACACACACACACAACCTACTTACAGGCAGCTATTATCGCATAAGCTCACCCCTTTGCTGTTCTATGTTTTGTTCTGCACCAGCATAAAGCTTTCGTGCCCTGGCGGTTATATTCATTACATATACAGAAATACACTATTCAACCCTTAAGCACTGCTGCTGCTTCCCAGACTGCCAGCCAGTTTGAACAGTGCATCTTCTAAAGGGTTAATCCAGGTGCTCTCCTGGAATGCACAGTGTCAGCATCTTTTCTGTGACTTGGGGCCACTTGGGGTGTAGGGAAGCATGATTCCTCCCAGGGCAAACAGCATTGACTCCCCATGTCCTCTCGTCGATGCTCGTCGACCGCTTCAGTGTCATGCCAATGGCTGGTCTTTAATCCCACCTAACCATACAGCCTGAACTCTAGAGTGGGAGCTTCTCACACATATACCACCATAAAGGGTTAAGGCCACGATGCTAAATGTTTGTATATCTTTTGTATCAATGTTCTTTGCCACCCTAGGGAGCAGAAAGAACACCCAAAGGTCCCAGCAGGAAGCCTTGCAGGTAGCAATGGGGTATCCCACAGATTGGAGCAGGCTGCAAAGTTGCAATAACATTGGGCTATGGATTAGCTTTTCTCTTGAGCTGGCTCAGTTCAGGTGACTGGGATTAAGTCCCGCTCAGAGTCTCCATCCTAAATCCTGCTTTTTAGGGGTTTATAGATCAGCTCTTAGCACTCCTTCAGGGCTATAACCTCAGTAGATCCGGGCTTGGCTTAGGAGCAGAAAGATGCTAAATTTAAAAAGGAAAAACTGTTAAGCCATTTTCAAGTTATAAGAGCAGAAAAGTGACCTGATGTGAGGGGTTGATTTCCAGGCTTGGCTGTGGGGGCACCATACAGCCTTTGCAGGAAGTGCAGGCATGTATTGCATTGAGCTGTAGCACATCTCTCTGGCCAATTCAAGAAGAGCTCTTGCCTGGCTCTGAGGGAGCCCTAGCTGGTTCTCCGCTCTAGAGGGGGCATTGTGAGATGAGACAGTAAAGGAACAAAAGGGAAGCGGGGGAACAAAATCTCTTATTAAAAGATGTTTTTCCATCGATCAGCCTCTCTCCCTGCTTGTCTCTCCCTAGTGACTCAGTGTTAGTTATGTTTACTGCCCCTCGGAAAGGTTGGGCTAGGGCCCTTGGGGTGATCTAAGGGCTACACAGAACCAACAGCCATTTCAGCTTGAAATAGTGAATCCTGGCCCCAGTGAGTCAATGGGAATTCAGGGGAGCCAGGATTGCACCCAGAGTTTGCAACCATTTCATTGGTGCTAGTTAGAAATGCACATTTCATGCCAGCATTTTATGTATACACTTAGGTCCAGATCTTCAAAGGTATTTCAGTTCCTAAGTTAGGAGCCTAAATACCTTTGAGGATCCGGGCCTTAGACCATGATCCTGCAGCTACATATACATGTGGTCAACTTTGAGCTCATGACTAATTCCAGTGAAATCAAGCCTGATTTTAAGCTGGCTCCAAATTGCAGTTTACCTTATCTATGCTTGAGGTTTACAATGGAGCAGCTACATGGCTGGCGGGTTATAAATTTCTGGAATTGGGGCAAATTCTGACTGGAACCAAGGCCAAAGAGGAGTTACTTCCCCACTCCTCTCCCCTTCTTAATCCAGCACTGTCATAACACAAGAGCCAGGGGTCTCCCACTGAAATTAACAGGCAGCAGGTTTAAAACAAACCCAAGGAAGAACTTCTTCACATAGCGCACAGTCAGCCCATGGAACTCATCAGAAAATGTGATGGCCAAAACTAGACCTGGGTTCAATAAAGAATTTGGTAAATTCATGGAGGATTGGTCCATCAATGGCCATTAGTCAAGATGGTTAGGGATTAAACCCCATGCTGCCGGTGTCTGTAAGCCTCTGACTGCCAGATGCTGGGACTGGCCAATGAGATGGATCACGCAGTAACTGCCCTGTACCATTCATTGCCTCTGGTACAGGTCACTGTCAGAGACAGGACGCTAGGCTAGATGGACCATTGATCTGATCCAGTATGGCCGTTCATATTTAAACAATACTAGCAATCGCGTCCTTGCTGCCCACTCTTAGCAATTCTGAGCAAACACTAATGGTCTGTCTTTAACCCACCCAATTCACTTGCCTTTATTTTACTTTTTTCAGCAGCCTGGTTTAATCACAGAGGGCTGAATCTAGTCCTGTGGTGACTTCAGCTGAGTTATGGACAGGGTGGATTTGGCCCAGAGTCAGCCCATGGCTCAGCATAGTCTATTGTGGCTTTTAGCAGATCACACCCTTGAACCCTTTTATTTAAAAGGTCCCTGATATGCATTGAATTGCCTCCCATTTGGAAGTGTATGTGTCTGAAATTCAGATGGATGAAGCAGTCTTTTCCTTGGGATGGGATCCGGGACAGAAAGGCCTTTTTTTTCTATTCCCGTGGATTGTTATATTCTAAAGATACCATCGTTTTCTCATTTGTTTTAATAAAAATTGAAAGCAGTTGGAGGTGCAGTTGGTTTTTTTGGGAGTGGGTTAAAAAGAATAAAGAGCACTTTGTTATTGTAATATTACAGTGATTCCTAAAGCAGGTTTAACGAGAGACATGATTGCATCATCTCCAGAATATTAAATGCACCATAAAGGAACTTCCAAAACTGAGACACGGCTGCCTCCCCTCTGCTAGATCACAGCACACAGGAACCCTGAGCATTGAGATACCTGCAGCCCCGCTGCTAGATCACAGGTCCCGGGAATCCCCAGCACTGAGACACAACTATCTAAACACTATGGGCCATATCCTCCCTGGTCCACCGTGTCTGCTCAATAGAGTAAAGGGGCCACAAGGCAGCCTCTGCCTCTCTTGCATGGGCCATTCTACTAGTGGGCAATTGCAGTGCAGGAGGGGCAGGAAGCATTGCAGCGCCACTATCCCCTTTGCCCCATACAGGAGGCATGACTGTGGACATGCTACTTGCTTAATAAATTGGCTCGTTCTGGCTCATGAATGCAGTGGCTGGATGAGGCGGACGCTGGTCATTAAATGTCAGGGAAGTTCTTGGCAGCTGTGGATCTTGATCTGACTTGACTTGGGAAAGCTCAAGTCTTCCTCTGCTTTGCTCACAGCTGTCCTGTTCCCTGACACGTCCCCAGAAGTTGTGTTCGTACTGGCCTGGCAGCCTCTCCCTGAGTTTTTGAGTAGCGCCAAGCACACTGGTGGCACATAAATAATACCAGCTCTGTGTCATGTGCCCTTTCAATCAGCTGTCATTTCTTAGCCACTTGTGCTCTCCTTGAACGCATGGGTTTGGGGTGCAGGGAGCTGCTGCAGAGCTGGGTTAATAGATATTTGACCCAGGTGCCTCTGAGTTGGGCTGGGAGCACGAAATGTTTAATTTTCATTATCCATCATTCAGGCCTTTACAGAGGGCATGAGGACATGCACACAAAAAGCAAGGAGGCTGCTCTCTCTGACTGTCCCCTTTCTCCGCCATCTGAGCCACAGACAGGTTTGCAGCGGGGTGTTTGCATATCTCATTTAATGAATTCAGCAGCAGAGTTGTTTATCTGCTCTGTGTTTGCACAGCCCCGGCAGCAAAACCCCTGGAGATGAAATTTAGCTCTTGACAAGGGCTTGTCCTAGAATGATGGTTCTGTTTGTCACATTTATGTACACCTTTTTCAGTCAATAATTGACTCAGCAGAAGTGAGTAGGCTGATGTGACTCTTCTTTCGTTGGTTTGTGTCAATTTTGGGCCTGCCCCTAGGAGAGGAGTTGGCTTTATTTTTTTAAGAGATACTGAAAGGAAAAGTGGGGTCTGCCTGCACTGCTCCATAAGGCCCAGGCTGCAAAACAAAGGGAAAATAAAGAGACGCTGACCTGATTTCACTGGTATCAAACACAGAATATTTATATACATATATAATATAGCTCATGCATGGGAGTGAATGTGTGTGGCAGGCAAAAACCTCATATCTCAAGGAATTTAGCTGGTACACAGACTAAAAGGTTTTTATAAATGCTCCCTGCAAGTCCCAGGTTAGGATTTTCAGCTGATGAGTGGCATATTCTGTAATGGATGCAGGCATTAACTACATGAAACTAAAGGGGAAAGAGATGGGGGAGGGCAGCCCTGAAAGTGATGGGGAGGTAGAAATAGCCTGTCTCTGACATCAAGGCTTGTTTCTTCTCAGCTGCCCCAAGGCCTCCTGTGGGGTAGAGGTGAGGAGATGGGCTTGCAGGAGTAGCCTGATTGAACCCCAATAAAGTTTTGCATCCCATCAAAACAGCCATTCCTACACATGAAGCATGTCCAGCAGCCCAAGGAAAATAAAGTACATGCAAAAGAAAATATGCTGAAAGGATTGATCTATCTCAGGCCTCTGAAAAATGTTCTGACAGCTCCTGAGCAAACAGTGTTATTTTTAAAACATTGGAAAACAATCCATCTCTAGAAGATCAACATGACAGGTGGTGGTTACCTGGGTGAGCACACACCTGAGTCAAGAGCCACCTTGATCATTTGTGAAACATCAGCACCACAGAGAGCAGCGGAGCAGAGGAGTGGAATCCAACCATGGCTTCTTAGTCCTTCCTCGTCTCATGTTATAAGGAGCTGTCAATACTCAAGATTCAGGGCACAAGATGATCACAAGAGTCAGGAAGGAATTTCTGGCTGTGCAAAAGTATTGCAATGTGGTGTTTCCCGTCTCAAAGCCTTCAGTCCTCCTCCCA